AAAATGAGCTGTGGCAGAGGTGCTGGTGTATTCTCCAGCATGGTGTCATCGACTTCACCAAAATGAGGTCCAGGCAGGAACTCAATTATCCAGTCGTGTTCTGGGCAGCTACTCAAGCCCAAGGAGCTTTCTAGTCAGAGATCTGATATCCCACTTGCGTAGCAACCAACTTTTATTATAGTTGTGCCCAAGCTTGCAATTTAATTTTATGAATTTATTAAATCTAGGAGGGTAAACTGTGAGGATGTAGTTTTAAAAATTTTACATCAGCAGAAATTATGGCCCTTGGCCAAAACTGAGATGAGATTTAAATAATAGTCTCAAACATTTTCATTATTAAAAAAGACATTAAATAAACTAAATATTTAATTACAAATAGAAAAATATAAAAATCCAAATTAGAGAAAGAAGAAAATTAATGGAGGTAAAAGTATTACATTTAAGAAGAATGAGGGCAATAAATCTATACAAGTGCCATTCTAAAAAAAAAAAAAAGGAAAAAAAACCCTAATTAGCATACTTCTGTAAGATATACTCAAGAAAATGTTAGAAATTTATAAATTAAAGAAGACGCTAAATGCAAAAAATCAAACTAAAACATGTAGGAATTAGACTTGTGATGTAGGTGGCTAAGAAGTCCTGTTGGAGGAACCAGTGGAAGAGCGGTTCTGCTAAAGTTGACACATGAAGGCAAACTCAACGATAAGAGTGAGACAACACAAAATACAGTAATGTGCCTCATAGCATCCATTCGGGCAATGTCCAACAGCATATATGTCCCTAGTCCCATAAAGTTATAATAGAGTTCAGAAATCCCAATAGGAGAACAGGACCTAGCAGATTTAGGCATGTCACACTCGACAATCACCACGATCCTCAAAAACACAGAAAAACAAGCTGTTAAAGGATCTGCTCCACTGAAAAGTACAAGGCTAATTAAAATCCGAGAGGGACCTATATCAGATATGGAGAAATTGCTAATGACGTGGATTGAGGACCAAACACAAAAGCAATCCCTCTTACCACGTTGACGATCACTGCTAAGGCAGGATGCTTGTTCAAGATGCTTAAAGAAAAAGCAGGACCAGACTACGAAGATATATGGAGTTTAGTGCTAGCTCTGGTGGTTCAGGCACTTCAAACAATGTTTTCCGCTGCTTAATGTGAAAGTGAGTGGTGAGTCTGTGAGTGGTGATTCGAAGGCAGCAGAAGAATTTGTTGAAACTTTAGCTAAACTAATTGTAAAAAACAAACAAACAAAAAAAAACCTGTTGCTCTTGAGTTTATCCCAACTCATAGTGACCCTACGGAACAGAGTAGAACCGCCTCCAAAGGGTTTCCAATGAGCAGATGGTGGATTCGAACTGCCGACCTTTTGGTTAGCAGCTGAACTCTTAACCACTGTGCCACCAGGGACCCAAGCTAATTGTAGAGGGAGGTTATTTTCCCCAGGAAATTTTTTAATATGGATAAAACCTCCTTATACTGGAAGCGATGCCAGAAAGGACCTTTATCCATTATATGGTGTTCGCACATCCAATTACATAAGGTCCTATTTCACAGAACACATTGAGAATGTTAAGAAATGTATGACTGTAAATAAATAAATCTACTTGAGAAATAATAAAGTGAGAAATGAGAAAGGAGATATAACCAAATTAAGAGAGGACTCTAGATATGTCAAGAAAATATTTTAAACAAGCTTTGGGTTTCAAATGACAATAGCCAGACCCAAGACAGCATATTTAAGAGAAGCTGTTGATTTGAGGACACTCAGCAAGGGCTGAAGGACAAAACTCAGCTCAGACCAAAGATGCTTATCAGTCTCAGGAACCCTGGTTCCAGAGGTTTCAACACACGCCCCTTTTTTCGCGGATGCTTTTTTTTTTTTTGATTGTTGTAATTAAATGAAGTTTACATTTCAAGTTAGTCTCCCACACAAATTATTTTTTTTTACATACATTGTTATGAGACCCCAACCGCTCACCCCATTCTGCGACAGCACACTCTTCCTGTCGGTCCCTGATTCCCCATGAACATTCAACCAGCTCCTAACTCTCTTTGCCTTCCAACTCACCTCTGGACAGAAGCTGCCCCTTTGGTCTCTTGTATCTACTTGACTAAGAGGAACACTCTTCACTAGTATCACTTTATGTCCCACGGCCCAGTCCAATCCCTGTCTGAAGAGTTGGCCTCGGAAATTGTTTTAGTTCTGGGCTGATAGAGTCCAGGGGCCATGCTTTCTGGGGCGCCTCCAGTCTCAGTCAGACCATTAAGTCTGGTCTTACTAGAATTTGAGTTCTGCACCCCATCCTTCTACTGTTCCATCAGGGACCCTCTGTTGTGTTCCCTGTCAGGTTGTTCACTGGTGGTAGCCGGGCACCATCTAGTTCTTCTGGTCTCAGGCTGATGGAGTCTCTGGTTTATGTGGCCCATTCTGTCTCTTGGGCTAATACTTTCCTTGTGTCTTTGGTGTTCTTCGTTCTCCTTTACTCCAAGTGGTTGGGACAAATTGATGCATCTTAGATGGCCGCTTGCAAGCTTTTAAGGCCCCAGATGCCACTTACCAAAGTAGGATGTAGAACATTTTCTTAATAAGCTTTGTTATGCCAATTGACATAGTTGTCCCCTGAAAGCATGGTCCCGAGAACCCCCATGCCTGCTACTCTGTGTCTCAAAGTATTTGATTGTACTGAGGAAGCTTCTTAGCTTTGGTTTTAGTCCAGTTGTGCTGGCTTCCCCTGTAGTGTGTGCTGTCCTTCCCTTCACCTAAGATAATTCTTATCTACTACCTACTTAGTGAATAACCCTCACCCTCCCTCCCCACCCCAGTAACCATCAAAGAATGTTTTCTTCTGTGTTTAAACTTTTTCTTGAGTTCTTATAATAGTGGTCTTATACAGTATTTGTCCTTCTGTGACTAAGTTCACTCAGCATAATAAGTTCCAGCTTCCACCATGTTATATGATGTTTCACACCTTCATCATTGTTCTTTATCATTGCATAATATTCCATTGTGTGGATATACCATAATTTGTTTAGCCACTCGTCCGTTGATGGGCACCTAGGTTGCTTCCATCTTTTTGCTATTGTGAACAGTGCTGCAGTGAACATGGGTGTGCGTATATCTATTCTTGTGACAGCTCTGGTTTCTCTAGAATATATTCCAAGGAGTGGGATAGCTGGATCGTATGATACTTCTATTTCTAGCTTTTCAAGGAAGTGCCAAATTGATTTCCAGAATGGTTGTACCATTTTACATTCCCACCAACAGTGTGTAAGTGTTCCAGTCTCTCCATAGCCTCTCCAGCATTTATTATTTTGTGTTTTTTGCATTAATGCTAGCCTTGTTGGGATGAGATGATATCTCATTGTAGTTTTGATCGGCATTTCTCTAATGGCTAATGATCACGAGCATTTCTTCATGTGTCTGTTAGCCGCCTGAATATCTACTTTGGTGAAGTGCCTGTTCATATCCTTTGCCCATTTTTTAATTGGGTTATTTGTCTTTTTGCTGTTGAGGGTTTTCAGTATCTTGTAGATTTTAGAGATTAAACATTGATCAGATTTGTCATAGCCAAAAATTTTTTCCCAGTCTGTAGGTTGTCTTTTTCACTCTTTTGGTGAAGTCTTTTGATGAGCATAAGTGTTTGATTTTTAGGATCTCCCATGTATCTAGTCTCTCTTCTGGTGCTTACGCATTATTAGTTATGGTTCATATTGTGTTTATGCCATGTATTAGGGCTCCTAGCTTTGTCCCTATTTTTTCTTCCTTGATCTTTATAGTTTTCGATTTTATATTTAAGTCTTTGATCCATTTTGAGTTAGTTTTTGTACATGGTGTGAGGTATGGGTCTTATTTCAGTTTTTTGCTTATAGATAATGGATGCTCTCTTGAAGTGCCAGCTTCATCTTTGCCCACTGCAGATGAGTTTTCAGCACTTGGGAAACATAACCGTCAGTATGTTCATGTTCTACCTTTGAACATATGAGAGATAGTGACACATATCATCTATGGAACCCATGTTTAAAAAAATACGGGGAAGGCTTTCGGTGAAGCTCCCAACGTGGGACCATTCAGTTGCTGCCAGAGGGTGGGAGTAGGATAATGTGAGAAGGTGGAAGTTTCCACACAAACACAGAGTGGAGGTAGAAGTAGTCTGGGGAAGGAGAGTTTTGGACAAACAAGGAAAAAAAACATTAGCATACGAGTTTATGCTAATATGACAATGTTTGTATTATAGAAACTTGGAATAATTAAAATGAAATAAACATAACTCAAAGGAAATGGAAAATCAAAATCAATTACCATTAAAACACTAACAGTGTTAGTAGTTTATTACCTCCAAAGAAGTTCAGTTTTCACATGGATTGATAGAGAATGACTTTAATTACATTCTGTGTTTCTCCTTATTTTATAACCCCTCTGGTTTGGTAGGGATAACATCAATTTTTATTGGTGATTTTCCGGATTCCAATCTCGGACACCCTCTTCACAGTTTACAGTTTCTTGGGCAATCCCTAATGCTCCCTCCGTTTAAATTCTGACATTTATGATACCCAAGTTTACACAACAGCATAGACTTTTCTCTAGGACCTTTACATCTAACTTAATTCTGCTGGAATTCTGGTTGAACGTTTATTCCAATTGAACATTTCCTAAGAAACTTGACCTCAAGTCTCTCAGAAGCTTATCTTCTCCCTTACACCTGCCCCTTCTCCAGCAGCCATCCACTTCGGCCCCTACCCCCACCTCTTTAGACCAAACACGAAACCTGAAGTCATTCTTGTCATTATACTAGTAGAGGTCTCTAGCCTCTTACATGGCATCAACGCAAGTCCGCCCACCCCGTGGGGCTCCGGCCCCGGCCCCGCCCCTTTGGCTCCTGGCCCTGCCAGTGGCCCCGCCCCGCAGTCCGCCGATGCGCAGGCGCATTCTCCCGCTCCTCCCCGACCCTCCGCTGCGGAAGGCGCGGCGCAACTGCGCGCACTTTCTCTCCAGGAGTCAGCGGAGCTAACGCGGACCCAAAGGCTCCGGGACGTAGAGGCCCTGCCCTTGTCAGACACAGCAGACATGTCGGAACAAAGTAAGGATCTGGGCGACTCCAGCTTTGCAGCCGAGGCTTCCCACGCCGAGGTGTGCAGCAGCCCTGGGGTCCCTAAGGAGGGCCCGCCGCCCGTCTCTCAGGCCGCGACCCTCGCAGAACCGCAGAACCTTCTTTTCAGCCCATTGGACGCCCCGCAGCCCTCGCCTCCTCCCCAGGCCCTAAGCGACAAGGGGGACGCGAAGGCCCTGCAGCAGGCGGCAGAAGAAGGCCGCGCCGGCCAAGTCCAGAGCGCGGCCCAGGCCCAGCCAGGCCTGGCGCCGCCAGCCCCTGCTCAGCTGGTGCAGAAGGCTCATGAGCTCATGTGGTACGTGCTGGTCAAGGACCAGAAGAAGATGATCATCTGGTTCCCAGACATAGTGAAGGATGTCATCGGTAGCTACAAGAAATGGTGCAGAAGCATTCTCAAGCGCACCAGCCTCATCCTCGCCCGGGTGTTCGGGCTACACCTGAGGCTAACCAGCCTGCACACGATGGAGTTCTCGCTTGTGAAAGCGTTGGAGCCGGAGGAGCTGGACAGGGTGGCGTTGAGCAACCACATGCCCATGACAGGTCTCCTGCTGATGATCCTCAGCCTCATCTACGTGAAGGGCCGCGGTGCTAGAGAGAGTGCGGTCTGGAACGTGCTGCGCATCCTGGGGCTGCGGCCCTGGAAGAAGCACTCCACCTTTGGGGATGTGAGAAAGCTCATCACGGAGGAGTTTGTTCAGCAGAATTACCTGAAGTACCAGCGCGTACCACACGTTGAGCCACCCGAGTATGAGTTCTTCTGGGGCTCCAGAGCTAGCCGTGAAATTACCAAGATGCAAATCATGGAGTTTCTGGCTAGGGTCTTTAAGAAGGACCCCCAGGCCTGGCCTTCCCGGTACAGAGAAGCTCTCCAAGAGGCCAGAGCCCTGCGGGAGGCAGAGACCATTGCCCACTGCCCCCGCAGCAGCGTTTCCGAGGACTAGCAAGGTCTGGAGGCAGATTTATTGGTCTGGCCCTCACCAGTGTTGTGGAGGGGTGGGTGGGGCATTAGAGTATTCAGGATTTACAGTGCAGTATTTCACGTGTAACCTTTGGTTTTCAGTACAGTGCTTTTATACCTTTTAATGCAATGTTGTATTCATTTGGGTACTATTTGGTAGTGTTTAGATTTATGCATGTTTGTTTATAAGTAAGCTCGGTGCTTTCGCTCTTGTGCTACCTTTCTTGGATTTTTGTACCAGAGATGTGCTAAACTTATGAAATACATTGAGAAATTTTCCATCTTATTCTTTTATATGAAACAGATGATGTGTATTGGGATAGACTGCTCGTGGAGAGTTTGGAAGAACTTGCCAGTAAAGCTGGGCAAACCAAGAGAAATGTCAAGGCCTCTCTCTGTCCTTGCTGGGCACAGGAAATACATCTGTGTGGAGTTCAATGATTTGAACTGAAATGGTCTCACTGTGGGCACTTGGCACACTTTACTGAACACAAATACAGTCCCACCACCAGTAAACATTAAAGATCCTTCTGATACAATCATTTTTGGAAAAGTGTACTTTATATATCTTTTTAACAAAGTAGTATTGTTGGTAATGAGACAAAGAATTGTCAATTTTGCAGAATTACAGATACAACTTTTTCAGCTAATAGGGTAGAAAATCACTACATCAATTGTCATGAGTGTGTGAAATTTATAGTTTATGTAACATGTTCATTTCAGAAACTGACAAAAGTATAAAAACAAGGAAAGCAAAATGGCTCATAATCATATCACAGAGAAAATAACTGTTAATAGAGGAATCTCCTTAGTATCATTTTCTACATTTATTAAGATTAATAGCTTTAAAAAACTAATAGCTATCTTTTTGGGGCATTTAAAGAGTGAAGCATTATACTAAATGCTTTACAAGGATTTTCTCCTTTTACTTAATCCTCACAATGGCCCTATGAGGCAGGCGCTTATTGCATCTGCACCATGGAGGAAATACAGGAAAAGAAATAGCTAATGAACTTTCCCTTGATCATAAGGTTATTAAGAGGAGGGGTTAGAATCTGAACTCAGAATGAATCTAGAGCTCACACTCTTTCCCCACCTGCTCCCACCTGTTGACAACCTGCCCCCAACCTGCTGGTGTTTAGTCTTTTTTTCCCTTGGTTTTGTTTTTTAAAATTCCATATTAGAGTCTTAAAACAAACATATATAATGAGTTAGAAATTTTATTTAACTAGTTAATCAGAATAATCCTTTCAAGAAAACAATATTATTCTGATTTTACAAATTAAGAAACTGAAAGAGATTTATTGACCTAACCAAGTCATTCCTGCTTAGTTAGCAATGAAGCCTAGATTTTAAACACAGTCTTCTCTGAGGGTCTGAGATAATAGAGGCTTCTCTGACCAGCAGGGCCCAGGGACACTCAGGACACATGGGGGACAGGGTAGCTGGGACAGGAAGATTGCTTTTTGGGACATCTGTGTCTCAGCAGTCCTTGAATTGCGATGGGCTACTAGGTAATCTCCCAGAGGGTGGAACTGGGTGTGGGTGGGGGTGAGGAGTAATGACTGAAGAAAACAGTCTTTAACTCTGAAATTTTCAGTCCTATAAGGGGGAGGGCAGGAAAGGGGCATTTAATAAAACCAGAAACCCTTTAAACTCCACAAGACTGGAAAAGACCATTTGGTGAAAGCCAGAACCTTTCCTGGGAAAGACAGGTAATGAGGGGGAGCACGTGGGTCTACAGTGTCACATCACCCCGAAAAGAAACCAGAAGTCATATTTGGGTAAGGGAATTATAATCTGGATTGGGAGGGAGCTAGGATTCCGATCACTTAACAGACGGATATAGGTGCTGAAAATGCTTAAGAAGCCCCAGCTTTGCTGAGACGGAATACATCCCCAGCTTACAAGACTTCTCATGAAGCCCCCCACGAGGGGCACTTTTGCAATAACTTAGGAAGGGATGACATGGTTTTGATGGCGCCTCTTACTCAGAGCCAATGTGAGTGTCATGCCTGTTTATAAATTTCCCTCCCCTCACCCAGAAAGTTTCAGCAGAATTAAAACAAATATGCCCCTTTTCGTTTAAAATTATGGGGCTATCCAGGATCTTCCACAGCTGGAGAAGAGCCACAGCTGTCACTCCTGCCATGGCATGGTGCTGGGCATTTTCTCAAATGCCTGGATGTTTTCCTTACTGCCAAGTTGACTCCTCCCAACAACTGTAGCTCCTGTACACTTCCTGCAGTCACCCAGAAGTCACCAGGCTGGCAGTTCCCTCACCTCTCCCTGTGTTTGTATCTACCTTCTCTGCTGTGAGAGGCAGGGAAAACCATACTCGCCAAGTCTGATCCAAGTCTGCTGACACAGCCACACCAGCCATGCCACAGAAGACTGAAATTTCAGAGGACAGGGTTGTGAGAAATGGGGAGCCGATCCCTCATAAGTCACATGGGCAGGGATGCTTAGCTCCCGTGCTGTCTTAGAAGCAGCCAGTACTAGAGGAAGAGGCTTCCATGATGTGAAGCAGGGCTACTTCGTGACTCTTGGCCCCATTGGGACAGAAGCTTGGGGCACTGGGAGGGAACATTCAGTATCTCTCCTAGATTTTCACTCTGGGCTCTGAATAAGGTTGGAGGGTTTGTAAAATATTTTCCATAAGGTTCTAGGATAGGTCTTTCAGGAAGGGGCAGTCAGTATGACAGTGTGGTGTAGTCCAAACTGCTGTGGCTGAGAAAGGTTTTTCTAATTCTACATAATGTAACCTTTTATCTGTCCTGCTATTTGGGACCCCACTTCTTTACAAACACTCACACAGATATTTCATTTAACTTCATTTTATTAAAGTCATGAAGGGCAATAAAAGGGCCTTTGTAACCTCAATATAAAATTTAATGACATCTGGCTTAAGCTATCCTGAAAAGAAAATAAATGACTTTAAGTATTATCATTATTAAACAGAAAAGAAAGGTTTTAAGTGAACATCTTACACAATCAAGTACTTCCTGTCCTGGAAATCCTGCCATGCCACCCACCATTGCCCTTGAGTTTTACCTGGCTAACTAATGAAGACCACTTCCTCTGTGACCCCTCTCCTGGCCCTCAAAATTCAGAAGTATTTTCCTAGCATTCCCTCCAATAGCATCCTAAACTTTTCACTGAAACTACACATCTTTGTTATAAATAAGTGTATTTTGTCTCTCTGACTAGACTGTTAGATACTTAAGGGCAATAACCGTATTTTTTTTGTGCCATTTCCTTGATGTTTAACTTAGGGACTGGCTATGTACATGCTCAAAAAGTATTTTTTATATGAGTTAAGAAACTTAAAACGTTAGAAAAGAACCACCTCTCCACAATAGCAAATACAAAATCAAACATAAGAACTCCTATGCTAAATACCTATGCTAACTAAAAGTAGAAGAAAATAAAGACATGACAAAATTAATGAAAGAAAAAAATGCACCAAAACTGTGGAAACAAAAATTCTTTCAATAGCCATTTGTTTGAATAATCAAATAGAATGGGGTAATATCTAGTAGTTTATTTTTTAAAGGAGAAATAGTACAAATAAACAACTTTACTAGGCAAATGGGCCAAGGACACAAGGAGGTTGTGGTGAAAGGCGGACTTGAGAGAAAATTTCTTTGTGGCCAGGGAACTGCTGTGTGAACATATGTGGAGATACGGGAGACCATTAAAACAATCTCTGGAAATATACTAAAAAGGAGATAGAAAATAAAATTTTAGAGTGGGCTGAGGATAAAAAAGTCCCTGGATGGTACAGATAGTTAAGCACTCAGCTGCTAACCAAAAGTTGGAAGTTCAAGTCCATCCAGAGGCACCTCGGAAGAAGGGCTTGGTGATCTGCTTCCAAAAAATCAGCCACTGAAAACCCTATGGAGCACAGTTCTCTGTCACACATGGTGTCTCCATGAGTTGAAATTGGCTAGAAGGTAACTGGTACTGGTACTGGTACTAGTAGAGGGTAGAACATCAGATAAAGAGGAAAACACTATTCAGAAGGTATTGTCAATTTTCTCAAGTATGTGAGTAAGAAGAGGACTAATTTTAATGATATGGAGGCCTAATAGATTTAGAACAAACCATGCAGAAGAATGGGCTTCTTTTGAGTAAGAAAATTATGCTTTTTCTAATTACTAACCAAGAATCTAAACCATTCCACCTTCTCTCTTAATTTGCCCCATTATTCTTTATTTTAACTACTAAGTGCAGCCCTTAATTATATTACACATTTTTCCTTACCTAAAAAGTTTTATGTTTTAACCTTTTGCTATTTGTTGTATAAACATATTTGTTTATGTATTTATTTAATAGAGACTTACTGAACTCCAACAGTATGGCCAAATTTTTCTGGGTACTGGGTACACATTGGTAAATTAAACAAAGATGGTCCCTGCCCTTGAGGAGATTATTTACAAGCTAATGATGTTGATAGGGCACAGCAAAAATGTAAACAAATGAACATAAAAAATTGCACATTTGGATAATGTGAATGAAATGACTTTGGTTAGAATAATAAAGAATAGGGGCGGAGACGAGCTCATACAGGACGCTCAACAAATAGTTCTTTGAAAAGGTGAAATTTAAGCTGAAGGATAAGAAGAAATCTAGCAAAGCGTAGAGAGAACATGATTTCAGGAAGAAAAAATAGCATATTTGAAAGTCCAGAGCTAATTAAGTGAATCTTAAAGATGTCCTTTACTAGTAGACGTTGTAGCATTATAGATGGACTAACCAACATCCAACACCCAACACTCTTCTTGTCTGCACAACTGAGGCTGCACAAGCTAAATACTTGATTTCTTAGACTTTCTCTCAGCTAAGTTCTGGTCAAGAGATTTAAGGAGAAGTCTACTTGAGCTTTTCCTTCCTGCATATTTTTTCTCTTTCTGGGAATATATAAATGATAATCAGGAGCTATTGCAGCTCTTGTAATGACAAGTATGAAAAAGTCAAGAGAATCACAAGAATATTGAGCCTCACATTTTTCAACCTTTAAACAAATATCAATAACCACCTATTTCCTTTTGTACTTATTGGTGTGTAGAATTATTGTTCAATCTACTATCTTGTGGCATTTTCTGTTTCATGCAGCCCAAAGCATCCCTAGCTGATATAAACCTCCAAGCATTTTTTCCTCATCTTCCATTGCATGCTACTTATTTTGTGTCTTGCTGACCATGAGTGGGCCCTGATAAAGTTATGACCAGCAGAGTAATTCCATCTTCTTGCCATCTTACTTAGATCAGGCGTGGGAACTTAATTCAGACCTAGGCAATCAGAACATGAAGATCAGGACTTCACTCAGATCTTGGCAATCACCACAGGCAGAAACTTAGGACTTTCAATCCTGAAGCTCGCATCACCTTGATGTTTTCAATTATATAAGTATATATATGTATGTATATATATATATATATATCTCCTTTTATTTATCTGTTTATTGTTGGTAAGGTTGTTATTGTTAAGTCAGCCTTATCACTGGCTATAGAAATCATGCTGATGACTATAGTGC